GCGAGTCCGGTACTCAGCTCAGATGCATAAATAACGGAGTCATTACTACAAATACCCTATAGTATCTATTATGTACCTACGGAAATAGACTTTATACTTCCATTACCATTTCAAATGCTCTGGTACCCTACGGGTGGGGACTCGGCCTTTTCTCTTAAAATATTCACGAAATGATGGTAAGAGTGTATTGGCTTAACCATGGTAGTGTTTCTCGTCAACCCCATAATCTTGAATGGCGTGTTTTAGGCCACAGATAAAACTTACATCGTTTACCCGTTAATTGAATTAGAACACAATAGAATAGACACGATAATATAACCACAATATAGTTGTGTGGCATATGGAAGTCTGGTACGTAGCTGTGTGCTGAATTTTAATCAATACTACGCCTCCAAGTTATTACACGGTAATACAATTTAAATACCGTATAAACAAAATGAAATATGGTTTGTACTCGGACCGTAACCCTATATGTTGGAATCATTATTCATATACCCTCCGTAAGCTACTGCGTACTTACAACAACCGTGACATTATACTTCAGTTGCAATTATGTATGCCCTGGTTACATGTGGCTGGGGAAACGGTCTTTTTTTTTTTTACTTCAAATAGCATGTATTTACTGCTGATGGTTAAAGAAGGCGTCAACAAATACTTAAGTTGTATGACATATGCACTTGGTTAGTATGACGAGTTTGATACAACAACTATACCTCCTAGTAATAACCCAAAAATAGGATAGCATGTACTTTCAAAACAATTAGATATTACATTAACCATCCGTCCCTACAGAGCTACATCATCAAATGCCTCCGTACATGAAAAATATACCTGCAGAATATAACTATGAACCTCCACAACTTCATCATATACCTGCGTGAGAGGGCTACATACCACTTACTACTGCAAATAAGTCGGTGGATCCAACCGGTTACATCCTAGAGACACAAAAAGCAATTACAATATAGCTATTGAATACATACCTACTGTCTTAATATATACTCTTGGAAGCCAAAAATATGTACAATGAAAAAAAGGTTCGCTAATCTATTTGTTGCTTGCAACTTCTTCTATTATGTCCAAGACGCCCACAACGACCACATTTTCGTGGATTCTTTACCTGCTGGGACTCGAACCTTCGCTTCTTTGGCCGGCCTGGTTGGACAGACAACGGAGGAGGGTGAATTTGGTCCGCCTGAATTTCAACAATCATGTCCATATCATGCTTCGGTACGGGATTTATTGGTTCATGGTACGTTTTTCTGTAGCATTCAATGCTATAGTAAAGATCGCAAAAATCATAAATTGACATACTGCATTTTTCAATGCAAGCGCAGGCATGCTTGCAGGGCAATCTGAACATTTTCCATTCTCGACAAGAGCATTTGCGCGCCTCCAAATCGACTGCGTATCTTTCATTACAATCTGTTACCTCGAATACAGTTCTAGAGGATGAACTGCACTGTAGCCGTCGAGACGCCATGTACGACAGTGCCAACTTGCTCTCCTGTTTTGGACAGAGCCTTCCGTGCATTATCTCCGACTTTTTGCGGCGTTCATTCATCATTACCATCACTTGCCTTCTAATGATATCCAACATCCCAACGAATGGCATTGACCTCGCGGATCTCACCCAACTATTCCATGACTCAGCAATGTTATTATTTATTATTCCCCAACGAGTGCCTCTGAATAGTGAATTTGCCCAACATTCTGGGTGTGATTGGGTAATGAAGTCCCGGGCCAATGGCATTGATTCAACCACAGAACTAATGTGGTTTTCGAAATCTCTCCTCAACGGAGCATAGGCGGCCTTATTGAAGACAACGGTCCATCGTTTCTTATTATGCATTGGGTATCTCCGCATAATCTAAAAAAAGGACATTTTTTGGCTGATCATAACCAGTGATGTTCATTACAAATTAATATTGACGTACATATACCTGGGTACGGAAGTTGTCCACTAAGTGTCGGAGACAGTACGCATGATGTGCTCCGGGAAAGACGCACGAGATTGACTTTAGTAAACCCGAGTGCCGATCCGAGAAGAATGTGTACTGTTTCCAATCCGTACGTCCCTCACATTCTAAAACAGATCGCAGCTTCCAGCAAAACGACTCCCAACTTTCATCATTTTCCGTAGACACAGCTGCAAGTCAACAAATAAGAACACAAATAACTACAAAGGTTTCCAACGTATAAGGGTACATACGTGCCTAAAGAGAGCATGGAAAACAACATACACGAACAGCTATACCCAACATTCTAACAAAATGACAACTGTAGCTAATATCAAATTACGTACCAAAAAATGCTAAAGTAAACATCCCATCATCCCCATCCACTGCAATTGCACTTAGCAGACACCCTTTGTGTTTGTTTTTTATATGTGTCCCATCAAGAAAAAGTATGGGCCTGCAACCCCTAAAAAAACCCAGCCGGCATGCACCTAAACAAACAAAAAGGCGCTGGAAACGTTAGGTTGCCTGCTCAACTTCGCAGTCTATAATACTTCCCGGATTTGACTCCCGAAGTGCATGACAGTACCACGGAAGTTGTGAGAAGCTGTCTCTACCTCCACCATTAATTGCCCTTATCGCATTCTCCTTGCCACGCCATGCTTTATGATATTTCACGTCAATCCCATAATCTGTTTGGATATGCTCCCAGATGTCGGATGCCTTATACGCTGGCATAGAACGTATCTTATCTTTGTAGACCTCATAAATCCAGTTCGCATCGGCTGCTGGATGATCTCTTGATTGCAATAGACTCATAGTACATGTGTGATGTAAATTGCACTTACGAATGCTGAATGATGCATCACGAGCATGGAAAGATGCATAAATACGCCAACCACAGCCTTTGTCGATGCACACCGCAATAATTTTGCTCGAATCATTCTTTTGGTACCTGAAGTGTTTCTGAGTGGCAATAGAATAATTCTTCAGTAACTTTCTAAACTCCTGCGGTCCCTTGAATGTCTGACCTTCCCCGAAAATGCATCTCTACATTGCAATTAGACTAGTACTTTCGTCGGGAATAAAGATACCATCTGCGCAATCTTCGTTCAATCCCGAACATTCGGCCTCACCCCTACATTACAAATACAATAATAAGAATGAAAATTATATCAGATGTAAGTAGTTCTAATTTTATATGGTAATAGATATTTTCTTCGTAAATAGAAAAACATAGGTACCCATCTTACTCAACCGAGTATGTCCACGGTGTCTATGGTTACCTACCGTGTCATCCAGGGTATTTAAAAGAACAACTGCATCTATTCATCGAAGCAGGCTACGTGATGCAGTAAATGCCACGGGCTACAGAAATTTCAACGCATCGATCATGGTACACCTACCTAAACCGGATTGCTAGAGGATATTGACAGTGGCGTGTAAAAAAGGAGTGAAAATCGTTAAATACCTTCAAGACGTTATATCCCCACTACATATCTTTACAATCTCTTCAGTGGTTCGTTTTGCACCGCGCTACTACAAAATCGCGGAGGTGGATACTTACTACCTACAAACAACATCACAATAATATACCACGGTATTGTTGTATGCCAATATCATGAAAGAATTATTACTAACGTAACCTATAAACAATATGTTTTTAGATGTGTTGAACATGACATTATAAGTGCTTACAGATTGCATTGTTACATAAGTACTTACATACTGCATTCTTACATACTGCATTATAAGTGCTTACGGACTGCATTCTTTCATAAGGAACAATTGTGACTGCATTCTATAACAAAGTTTAATAAAGACTACTTAATTACAAATGATGAGTAACGTACCTGCGTCCAACCGTGCTTCGGAGAGGCACGCTCTGGTGCTCGCTTCTACACCGTGCAATCATATCCACAAACATTACCTTTAACAAGATATGCATTCTCCACATATTGGCGACATCATCGTCACAAAATAACGTCACGTAGCTTTTCTGAATAGGTGCAATAAATTGGAGTTTTACCGCCTCAATACTCACTTTATTCCATCTTTTCGATATATTCCGGTAAAGATCCTCCAGCGTGGTGCCCTCTTCTAAACGAATTACATGATCCTCACCTTCGTAGGAACATATAATTAATAATTTTAGACTACTTTGCTCCATGTCCATCGGAACCTAACGATCCAACCAATGAATGTATGAACTATATTAGGTCGTATGGGCGATTAGATAATCTTACACAAAATACACTAAAATCATATGTTCTTACGGAATTCTAGTAATGTCTTGATCTAGCAACAAATTACCCATTTCACAAAATAAATATTACCCTTAAACCCTAAATAGCAATAAAATTTATTATCAAAATCACCCAAAATAATACCCAAACATTTTCTTCCAAATAATAATTTTTCAACTAAGATATCGATACAAAAATACACCTGGTACATCTAATTTCGCCGGAGAACAAGAAAGACGGGCCAGGGAACCGGTGACAGCCTTCGGTAGTTCTTCGACCGAATCAACCAACACAAAAACACATCTGGTACATCTAATTTCACCGGAGAACAAAAAAGACGGGCCAGGGAACCGGTGACAGCCTTCGGTAGTTCTTCGACCGAATCAACCGACCGCCGACGACAGGGAACCGGAACAGGATTCGGAGAGTGCCCTAGGAAATTTTTCAATCGAACCAGACAAGAAGCGGCGATGTAAAATTGGGCGAACAATTAAGAACTTTACTTGTGCGGGATGTGGCTTTCGAGCTCACGGAAGAGGACAACGGATTGAGAAAGAATTTTTTGCGCGAAGAGAAACATAATGAAGAAAAATACAAGTAGGGAGGAAGAAAAAGAAAGAAAAAGGAAAAGGGGGAGTGCAGACAAATTTTTGTTATTAGTGACTGAATTCCAACCGATAAATGCACTGAGGGATTTTTGCCCAATTGTCCGTTTTATTTTTATGCTATCTAAATAATTTTTTATAAAAAAATATATATTTTTTCATATACACCTTTATTTTTCCAAATATAATCCTCAACCCTAATCCACTCCCGCCCAATCGAATCGCTGTCATGGGTCACGACGGCGATGGAGCCGGCCACCGCGACGGGGAATCGCATAAGGAACAATCTTCTCCTCATCACAAGTCGTCTCTTAAACGCAAAAATCGCCCTCACGGACTGCGCAACCGCAAACGAAAATCGATTCTGTCTTTGCAACCTGAAAGTTCTATGAGTATTCAAACGTTGAGGCCCGATTTAGCCAGTACATTGACTTCCTGCACGCGTAGGCATAAGAAGCAACATGATTTTACCCATAGAAGGGAAGGGAGGAAGCGCAGGAAGGCTGCACGTGTGCAATGTCACCGCGAGTGGACTTACTCGGATCATATTGGGTCCAATTATAGAGGTAGTTTCCCTGTATTTCTCTCCGCGCTTATTTTTGCGGTTTGTTTGTGGAAATAGTGATCTCTCAACTGTTAAAAATTCCCATCTCTATTTCATGGCATATGAAAATTTGCAACTCTGTCAGTTATATTGGGAAGCTTTGGTTTCAAAAGGATCAATTTTTGCAATTGCAGACCTGTCTTAACAATTTGGAGTACTTTCTTCAGCACTCTTTGTATACTGGCAGCGTTGTTAAATTTTTTTTTTTTTTTTTATTATTTTTTTTATGGCTATATAAAAGCCGTTGCTTTTAATATACTTTTCCTCAGTTTTGGGCTTCTTGAAGATGTTAAAGAAGACTTTCTGTGCCAATTATAAGAGTAATTATTATCTCGTACTACACACTAAGGCTTGGATTTGTTATATTTTATTTGTTTATGCTATGCATTGTTGTTTGGTTGTGACTTGTTATTTCTTCCGCTATGCTCCCTTGTTTACTTGAGAGCTCGAAGAGTTTCATGATGAGACAGATACAAGTAATCGTAGTGTTTACTTTTATTGCTTTTGCAATTCCTAATATATCAACTTTTATATTATGATTCGATTATGGAATAAGGTATTGGAGTTCTATTGAAGTTTTAGAGTGTGTGCGGGGGTGGGGGGTATATGTGAATGGGAATGTATACAAACTTAAATTTTCATAGGAGGTAGTAATTGAGTAAATATTGGTTTATTTTATTTTATTTTTTGTTGTATGTTTATGTACGAGCAAAAGCTATTTGGTGTGAAACAACCATTAGTGAGTTAGATGTTTTGTTTGTGTGTTCATGGAAGTCAGATAGCTATCCAAATGAAGTGTTTGGGGTTGTCTTCCGATTGTAAAATTAAATATATGTTGTGTCCTCTAATCATCCTGTCATGTGTTGATTCGTTCTTTTGTCTGCATCGTCCTTGAGGCAGATAAAGTTGTCATTGTATCATACAACATACTTGGAGTTGAAAACGCAACAAAGCATCCAGAATTGTACAGTGGTGTTTCACCAAAATACTTGGATTGGCAACGTCGGAAGAAGCTTCTCTGTAAAGAAGTCAAGAGTTACCAACCAAGTATCATGTGTTTTCAGGCATGCTTAAGCACTTTCCCTGCATTTGGCGCGTTAATATGGCTTTGTGTATTTTTAAAATAGAATTAAGCTATCATCAGATTAATGAGTACACCACTTATAACTAGTGTCATAATATAAATTAGAACCATGGGCTAGTTTTTGGTAGTTTTAAACTTATGTTTATCATCATAACCATTTTTTGACAGACTTCTTTGAGTTTTCAAAGAGTCTCTGTTCAAATATCAAGTGATATCTGCACTTGGATTTTGGCTTCAATGTTAGGTGGTCTACATATAATTAGTTATCTCGGACTCTCAGTTTTCAGACCCACTTCAAATACTTTGTTAAGAAATACTGAAATGGCATTGTGATCATTACCGATGTTTATTCAGATTTTATGTTGTACTTTCAACTGTTGTGCATTCTAATGGGATCCCCTCTGTGACTGCAGGAAGTTGATCGTTTTGATGATCTGAATGAGGTTCTTGGAAAAGATGGATTTAGGGGTTTGCACAAGGTTGGCTAAAAATTATGCAGTGGTGCTGCTTTTTTCTTTTTCTTTTTTGTACATTTCAAACAATAAAATGGTGACTGGGATTTTTTACTTGTTTTGCAAGGCTCGATCTGGTGAAGCACATGATGGCTGTGCCATATTTTGGAAAGCTGATCTGTAAGATATATAAGATAATCATTATATATATCTAAGATTCTTTTGCATTTTCCTGTCTTTTGATGCATAAAGTAGGAAATAGATGGGTTGCTATTTAAGTTGGACCATGTATATGCTTCAGTTTTCATTTTCAGATTTGCTTTTTGTTTAAATGCATTGAAGAAAATATAACTGAATTTCATTAATATGCTTTACAACATAAGTCAAGTTCCAGGGAGTAGCTCTTTACCTGGTAACTGGTGCAGACGTGCAGTCATATTTCCTTTTAAGTATTTTCTTTCATTTGACAGCGATAACTCTACCATTTCCAGATTTACCCTGTTGCATGAGGAGAATATAGAGTTCCAAAGATTTGGACTTCGTAATAATGTTGCGCAATTTTGTGTTTTGAAGGTAAGCAAATCTGCCAATATGCTTAGCAAACAGAAACCCTAATTTCAGCTTGCCTGCACCTAGATTGCTTTGCTTTCTCTAAGTGCTATCTTTCTTTCTAATGTGCAATCCCACTTCCTAGTGCTGTGTATCTGTTTGAACTGGATTCTTGTGACAGTATTTATATACTTTCCCTTGTGTGTGCATTTATTTGTGCATCTCTGATATGGTACTAGTTTTCAGGCCTTATTCCTCCATGCATCCTATACCGCAACTATCTTTTAATTGCTTCGTAAGCTTTCATTGCTTTGCCAAAACCATCGTTGGTCCTACAGGACTCTCTATTGGTGTGTCAACTGAACGTTCCTTATAGTAGAACAAACTTACCTGGTTCTATTAGTCTGGAAATTCTTCATGCCATTATCAATTGATTAATAATTCTAAAAAAATTCTCTTTACAAAGTATGCATAGTCACAATTACCGTGTCTGCTTATATCATTGGTTGTTATGTCCATTTCTCTATATAATATTTTGAATGATATGTCTATGATTCAGATGAATCAAGCATTACCCAAGGCTGATGCTTCGGGATCCCCTAGGTAAAAATTTGTTGGCCTTCATTTCCTTTGACGCAGACTGCCCTCAAAGCACACTTATGAACACAAGCACACACAACTCAAAAAGTATCTCCAAAATATTTTTAACACAGTGCTGTACATATATATACAATCATATATAGCATAAATTCCTATTTTTCCTCTAGTATATTATATTATTGAATTAGTATATATATATATAGATACATTTGTATTATACAGAAATGCGCACCAAAAAAAAGGAAAAAACCATTTGTGGTTTTAACAATTATTCACACAATGTTGCACTATTACCTTTTTTATCGCAGCTCTACTTTAATGGTCTACATAGAGTTTGTACTTTTTATGTATTCCATCCCAATGTATGTGAACTGTTTTCTCACCACTATTATGTATATTCATCGCCTAATGGTATCTTCATCTAAAATTTTTAGTGGTTCTGCCTCCCGAAGTTTACTGGTTGGTAACATACATGTACTTTACAACCCTAAACGTGGAGATGTGAAGGTTGGCCAGGTAACAGAGTTAATTGCTCTTGTAATTTTAATGTCTTAATATGTGTGATGTAGAGAATCAAGATTGTGGAAAACTTAGGAGTGACTACACTTCTAGAATGTATTACTGGCACATACAAGCATGTTCTTGTGCTTCGCATAAACCAGAAGGTTGTCTGGACTTGTTAATTTGAAAATGAACCAAAATGATGATAGTATATATTATCTGATGCTCAGGTTCTTCAATGAATACCATATTTTGATATGTTTTATTCCCCTTTAATGTATCAAACTAGGATAAATTTTCATAAACATACCTTTACTGCCTTCCTGTTTACCAAGTTGATTGATCCTGTATCTAGGATATGTATTGGTCTAACTTTATAATTCTTCCAAAGATAACTTTCTCTAAAATGCCTGGAGCTTGGATGGTTACATCTGCAGATCTGCTTGCTGAATCAACCATGTCAAACAGCTTGACAATAATCTAAATGGGATCTCTTAGAAAAATCGGGCCTTATGTTTTTAGATGTTCCAAGTTTTGCTCCATGCCTATTTCTTTCATAATTAAAATGAGCACTTGATTGATACCCAGACACAAACTTTTTGTAATCAACAAAATTGTTAAATAAGTTAGGAAGTTGTTATTACTGCTTGTTGTAGTGTGAATTCCACAGATTTTACAGTAATGTTCTTTGTTGTTTGTTTGAGGATTCTGTTGGTGTAGATGCGAATATTTCTTGAAAAGGCGAATGAATTGTCACAAAAATGGGGGCGTTTACCAGTTGTGCTGTCTGGGGACCTAAATAGTCTGCCACAGGTGTTGTTTCTTGAATATTATAATTTCAACGTATTCTAAATAATCCCCATACCCCCCCCCCCCCCCCACAAAAAAAAAAAAATAAATAAAATAAAATAAAAAGACTAATAATAATGAAGTTAAATTAGAATTTCCTCTATTTTTCTGTCCATTAAAATTTCTTTTTTTATCTTGATTCAGAGCGCTATATATCAGTTCCTTGCCTCATGTAAGGTCAGTCTTAGGCCATTATCATGTTTGAATTATGTCTTTGCTTCAAGTTTGCTTTTCTTACAAATTCATTTCTCTTAGCACAGTTGCACATCCACCAGCATGATCGAAGACATGTGTCCGGCCAGATATTTTCATCTGCATATTCAGAATTTCTATCCCGGGACAATCATTTTATAAGGTTCTTGCATTAAACTTATGTATCTAATATTAACACTGTTCTAAACAAATCTACTCTTCATGAACCAAATCCATGTATGTGGTACACTTCCTTCAAGCTGTTGCATGGATATAAATCATGTGCAATTTGCTACACAGCTACAAAACCCGATTCTCTTGCAGCTTTTGTCAGTAGATCACCTAGTTTGATCCTTCGTGTCCACCTGCTCCGTGATTATCAATCTTGTTCTCTTTATTGAACAATAACCAAATATATTATATACATACATATGTATGTTTTACATTAAGAATATTATAGTTGTGTGCATCATAAAGATGTTTATCCATGAATAGTCTTTCTAAATTGCTCAATGAAACCATTTGTGCAATCTTACTTAATTTTATTCTGTTTTTCTAGTAACTGCTTGCTGTCCAAGCCCTATGTTAGTTTGCCTCAATTATGTATATATGTATATATATATGTATGTATATATAGATATTAATTGATGGTTCTTTTGATGCCCTTGAATAGATGGACTGATGAAGAGCTGATGCTCGCTACTGGATCAAAACGTGGCACTCTTAGGCATCAGTTGAAGCTCTGCAGTGCTTATGCTGGTGTTCCGGTAAGATGTTCTTATCCATCTCAGCATTCTCTGTTGATGTCAGATTAAGGGCCTATCCATGCTAATTACCATTTACTTATTTTTTTTTTATATGTGTGTGTGGTCCATTACTTATTATCATGCCAATATACGTACAGTTTTAAGAACACTGAATATGTCCAGGCTTCTACATGATTGAATCACACGATTAACTTTACTTTGTTAATGATGTGAAATTGAGTTTGTGTTCTCATTTTTCCTCAGGGAAGCTCACAAGTTAGGGATAGACATGGGGAACCTCTAGCAACATCTTATCATCGCTTATTTTCTGGAACGGTCGATTATATATGGTATATCTCTTTTCATTTCCATTACGTCCCAGTATTGTGTATTTGTATGATCAGTACAGTTTTGCTTGAGCAACAGGCATACTTCAAACCTTGTTCCTGTAAAAGTTCTCGAGACCTTGCCAATGCCCAAATTAAAGAACACTGGCTGCCTTCCCAGTAAGGTAGCGTTCCATTTACTTTTCTTGTTTCATCTGGAATATTGTCATTTGTAGATATATGAATTTCATCGTCATTGTTTGGAAAGATAATTATAATTTACACTAATTTTATGTTTTCTTCGGCAAACACTTATGATGATGATTCTACTCTTCAACATTTTGCAATAGACATAGGATTTTATGCACAGCTTTCCATAGCTTTTCGTGCTGTCAGATTCTGTAACTAATGTTAGAATAAAAAAAATCGATATGATTTTAGACATTCAACTTTAGATTCTGGTTATTTGTTGGCGCAGGAATGGGGAAGCGATCATCTTGCTCTCGTATGTGAACTTGCTTTCACCGAGGAAACAGATCACGACACCAGCCCATCGAATCACAGCTGATAGATATATCCATTGTTGGCTCTTTAAGGTGTGCTTCTCATCTACATGCTAATAATTTGAATGAAAGAAAAAGAAGGATAACTATTACTCCTTTTTAGATGTTAATAGCTTTTTTATTTATTTTTTTTTTTTTGGTGATAAAATACAATATGTTATATATATATGTATATATATATATCATCATTTATACTATTTCCTCCATTCCACATAAAATATTTATAGTTTTGATTTCTGTCGGGCCATATAATTTGTTCTTTCCATTATTTATATTTTTTACTTTTTAAAATATGATTATACACTTTAATTACATATTAAATTTCAAAATCTATAGTTTTTATAATCTTAATGAAATTATTTAATTATTTTAAATTATAATAATTTTATTATATCATCATTATTTTTACTACTGTATTTTTTAATTATAGTGTACTTAAATTCACGTATTTATGATAATGGACAATTTATCGGAGGCGGGTGGATTATTTATTATAGTAATTTTTATAAATATTGGAATATATATATATATTTTATGACATGGGTCGAAGTTTTTCGAGTGCGCTCTCTTACTGCGTTCATAACCTACAAACTAGTAATATTGGAATGCTTAGGGTGTGTTTGTTTTGTGTTTTAGAATTTTTTTTTTTTTTTCTAATAATGTGAGATATAGAAAATTGTAATATAAAAATAATAAATGTATGTAGTATATAAGTTTTTTCAGGGGGAAATGTGTTAACAAAACAAACAAACCCTTAGTATACACATGTGAGTTATTTGAAAGTTTGGATTGAATTTGACTACATACTCGAAAATTTTTAATTAAGTATGTTTGACTAAACAATATTTTCTTGTTTTGTAACGTGTGTATATTATTTTAATAATAAAGAATATATAAAGGTTTAATCCGTTAAATTATTTTGTTACCAAGCGAGTTCAGCTTAGTAAAGAATTTATTGGAGTTCGAAAATAGATATGCTTGTTCTACACCTATTCGAATAATAACTTGGCTTTATTTAGTTTAGTTTATTTTTGTGTTTACTTAGTTATTAGATATGATATTTTATGAGATGAAGGTGTATTTTTGTAAGAATTGTGGGGTTTATACGATAAAAAATATTGAAAAAGATAAAAAAAAAAAGTTATGTTTACTGTAGATATGAAAATTTAGGTAAATTATAACTAAGAAGTAATTGACAAATACTTCTTCCATCCACCTTAAAAGTTCATATATGTTTTTTGTGTATTGATCTTAAATGTAAAGTTATTAAGGGGACCGAAGGAGTATATTGGTAGAAATAATTATTATTTAATAAAATAATTATAGATTAAAATTAAAATTATTAAATAATTTGATTAAAATTATGAATTATAGAATTTAAAATTATAATTAAAATATATAATTATATTTTTTTAAAAAAAAATAAAGGATAAATTATGTGGGATATATTGAAATAGAAAATGTAAACATTTTATGTGGGACGTGAAAATAATATTTATAAGCTTTTATTAAATAAATTTATGTTTGATTTATATCTGAAACCAAAATTATCATTATTCATCCCACATAATTTTTAAGGAAAATAGATATATTTATATATTTTTTATAATAATATCATATAATTTTATTTTTTTAAAAAAGTTAAAATTCAAATCAATACTCTAATTTCAATTTTAAACCAAATAAATTTATTTTCAATCTTATAAAATTTTAATAATATTTTAATCTATAATTTCTTTTAATTTTAACTACACTAATTAATTATTTTAATTTATTATTATTTATATTATACTATAATTATTTCTTATTAACATAGGTATATTTTTACTTATTTATTAATTTTATCATTTCTAAAATTTTGTATTTATAATAAACATGAGATAATATGTGGGAGGAAAAGAGCATCATATAAAATTATGACAAAATTGCACAAAATTTAGCTATAATATTATAAAATTGTACTAAATTTTTCATATTTTCAAAGCTGTCTCAAAACTATCTCGAACATATTATGGTTTAAACTCTGCGTTTAATTTCCTCGGTCGTCCTTATTTAATCGAATTTGATCAACGCATCCAAATTTCGAAAGAGATTCAAAATTTTTATTTTTAAATATTTAAAATTACAAATATACTAAATTTTCTCATATCTAAATAGTAAATATTCTCATAAGTAATTATTTTTCTTTAGTTTTAAGAATTTTTTTACTCTTTCTTGAGACTATAAGACAAATGAATATTTTTGCAATGTTAGGGATTTAGATACGAAAATTTATTCACAATTTGAGTGTGTAGTTCAAATACTGTTAAAGAATGACTGTCGAACGGGGTTAGATGGAGAGTTTAAGAAATTATGAAGTAGTTTGACACAATTTTAAAAATATAAAAAGTTTGGCCGAAACAAGTTAGATCCAGAATTTATGCAATCTTGCTTTAAATAATTATTTAAACAAAAATTTAAATATAAATTCAAACTCTAACTAAATGATGTCAAAGTATATAATATTGTTGCAAAACAAATAAAATTTTACTAGTAATTATCGGCTTGTTTATTCAATAAAATTTCATAATATTTTTTATTTTTTTATTAATGTTATACAAAATATAATATATATTTAGACAATTCATATATACATATTCTATTAGTTTTTTAAAATAAAAAAAATATTATTGGCATATTTTTCTATTCTTGTGTCAACAATATATATTAATATTTTTTAACATGTTCTCTTATTAATGTTATACAATATATATATATATATATTTAGACAATTCATATATACATAATCTATTTATTTTCAAAAAATTAATAATTCAATAAAGATAATATTATATATATATAGAAATTCATATATATATAATCTATTTTTTTCAAAAATTAATCCTTCAATAAAGAAATATTATAGACATATTTTTCTATTCCAAATATGAAAGATATTTTAAACTAAAAACAACAAATAAATATTGTGTTTATTTGATTTGTAATTTTGGATGAATGTATTTTTGGTGTTATTATGAAAAATTGTATTAGTAATATTAAAAACAATACTTTTTGTTACCTTATTGAATTTTGGTAAATGAATAAAGTATATATTTTGCTAATATTAAAAACAATACCTTTTGTTATCAATTTATTATTTTTATATTTTATATTTTTAAAAATTATAAACTAAATTTATTATAGTTTTTTTATTAATTTTAAAACTATATATAATTTACGATTATTAAAAAATTAATATATTATTAATTTTATAATTTTTTTTTTCAATTATTTTTTAAAATATTAATTTTTATTTTTATTATTATTTTTTTATATTATGAAGTAATTGCAAAAAAATATTTTTGTTGACTTATAAATATATATCAAATACTCCCTCCGTCCCAAAAGATTTGTCTTATTTTTCCATTTTCGTCCGTCCCAAAATAATTGTCTCGTTCTCTTATTTAGTAGCCGTGGTCCCCACTTTATAACAAAATTATTCTCACTTTTCCATACTACCCCTAATTATTACTCTAACATATTATTTAAAATCCTTAAAAAAGCAATGACATTTTAGTCATTTACATTCTACTTTATATCCACTTTCAATTAAATACTATTATTCTTTAATTCCCGTGCCAACTCTCAATAAGACACTTCTTTTGGGACGGAAGGAGTAATTTTAACAAATAAGTGAAAATAATAATAAATATGATCTATAATATGACTATATTGAAAACAAAGTCGTGAACATAGCCAAATACAGGATTATGAACACAGACAAAAACACGATCGTGTTGGCTATCTGAAACACCCAGTCACAGTTTTGAATCATTCAACATGACCGTGTTCAATCAACCATATCTTTTTTTTAAGTCAATCCCATCGAGATATTAGCATATGGACCTTCTTTATACAATAATCATATATATATATATATGAGTCGTTTATTAATAATTGAAAAAGAAATTTTGAATTTTCTTTTCTGTATAATCATTTTGTTGGTACAATTATTAGGAACTTTAATTTAATATATATTTTAATTTGCACCGCATCAATTGCAAGTGGAGTTGGTAACAAAAAACAATAACTATATATTTTTAATTTGCATTGCATCAATCACAATCTCGTAGGCTATTTGTATTTGTATTTATTTATTATTATTTTTTTATGACGTGAGAATTCGCAACTGTTATTGAAAATGTGCATTAAAAATTATACTAGGCGAATTAATTATGTGTGACAGGTGACCCGGAAATGTCGGAGGTTTGAACCCATGACCTCACAATCATAAATTCACCCCACGTCACCCCATGACCTGTATTTATTTATTTATTATTAATATAGTCTTGATCTTTTGTTAAAAAAAATTAATAACAATAATAAATATATATATATCTATAAAATATTAATATAAATAATTTTTATAATTATTTTCCGTATATATGAATTATGGTTATCTTTCTAACTAATATAATACTCCCTCCGTCTGCTTACAAAGTTTATATATTTTTATTTTGGAACGTCCAATTACAAAGTTTACATTTCATTAAATACCCTACTTTTTTCCACAAATACTCTTACTTTACATCACATCATTACTTTTACACAAAAAAAGTAAGGGCAAAAATATCATTACACTACTTTTAACTACTCACTATAATTAAAATACTATTATTTTTTAAACATCGCGCCAAAAGTAAATGTAACCCTTATAAATGAGAGTATTATATTAGTTAAAGAATTGTATAAGATTAATTTATGTTTTCAAATCAGATTGTATTGTTTTTTTGTTTTTTGGTTTTTTTTTTCCAATGCATCACATTATTAGCCGTGTTTAGTTTGATTTTTATTTAATTTTTTTTTTCAATATTGATTTAAATATTATTTTCATAGTATTTTAAAAAAAAAATTATTAAAAATCGTATCAAGTGAATATCATTTATTTTTATTTTAAGTCAACACCAACTACAATTGTTATTTCTCAATACCAATTACTTTTACTTAAAAATATAAAATTAAATAATTATATTTTATTTAAGATATAAAATTTACTTTTTAATCAAAATATGCTTTTATTTTTATATTACTTTTATTTAAAAAATATTAAATTCAATATTTACTTTTTTATAAAATATTAGGGGTGTGTTTAGTTAGGTTTTTCAGTTTGAAGTATTTTTTTTCATTTAAAATATGAAAATTTATGTCGATAATATAAAAAATAATAT